TTGTGTTGTTGTGAAGTTAATTCGAAGACAATTAAATTTCAACCGTAAGCAGTCAATATAAGTGTCAAATTATATTTATTACTAGCTATTCCCACGACTTCGTCTGTGTGGAACTAAATTTATCTAAAATAAAAGAATTTTTTAAAAATAAAAGTAGCCTAAGTTACTCCTTATTACATCACCTATATGCCAAAAAAGGCCAGTCAAAATCAATTCAGCCATTTCAGAGACTAGCCTTCAGGAACAAAAATTGTATTAAATGCTATTTTGGTATATGTATCGTATTTATATTCACATGCATGTAGTAAAAAACGATTATTTATATATTATTTTCTGTTTAGTTTACTTTTTATTATATAGCCTTATCCAAAGTATATTGCGCGTCTGTATAATTTAGCTTCTATGCATACATAGTGTGGGATTACAACCCAGTTTTGTACCAAACTACACTCAAATTATTGTATTGATTATAATCTGTTTTGTAGGATAATAAATAAATAAATGAATTGTCCTATTAATTTATTGATTTATTATTATAAATATTTAGTAGCAATAGCGATTTACGAGCACCACACGGTCTTACTTCCAATGGTTGCAGGTTCGTTTCTCGCACGGAAACAACATTTATATCATGTATATGATTGTTTGAATCGATTTGGGCGTTTTCTTTTTATACTATGTATGTATTTACGAATAAAAAAATATATGTTTGTATTCAAGCTGAATTGAAGAGTGAATTGACCTGAGAATTATTTTTTATTATTATATCACAGAGCTTAACACTACCTAAGATTTACAAGAGTCGGCTTTACCTCTATGAGAAATTTAATCTATATAGCAATCTATAACGGTTTAAAAAAAAGAGAGTTTGTAGAGATTTACACAAAGTATTGTTGTCAATAGGGCAGCCTTGTAAATATCGACATAACCTTCAAGATAAAATCTATGTAATTGCATAGATATATAGTAATATCATTATATTATCTGTGGTAATATTATAATATAATATAGTAACGTACTCCTAAAACAATAATATCAAAAATGATATCATATCTAGTGACGCTAACTTAATAAAATTCCTACCAACTCATTTGAATATACTTACTACATTAATTAATTAATGTTGAAAACTAGTTGCTCATTCTTAGTTGTTGCTCTTGCTCTTTCTTGCCTATAGGGGTTGCTGTACTAATGAAGAAAATCTAATCAAATTAAATGGGGACAGTCCGAAAATTCTCTCAACATTTTTTTTATATAGGTACATTATTTCATTTAAGTTATTCATTTATCTGTATGATTTCTTTGATACATATCTAGTTCTGACAATTACAAACGACACAGAAATAGCCATATAACAAAAGTATTAAAAACAATAAACATGCAGATCTACCATTTCAGTATTTAACAATTTTATTTTCTATCTGTTTAATTGTTTGAGAACATTAGCAGCAAACGTTTTGAAGTCGAATACTAGGATTGTTCTCCATTTTTGAACTCGTTTAAAACCGTTTCAAATACCCGCTCATTTACAGAAAACATTTATATATTTATGTAGCAGCAACACAACTGAACCTTCTAAAATATTTTCCTTTACTTTAGAACATTTACAAAGTCCGCTACGCTGGCCGCTTTTGTTTCAAATAATCAGGTTTTTGTGTGCGCCTTTACAATTTCAATGGAATTAAAAGTTCCCACAGAAATGCTTTGGAAGTAACGTTTAAAGTATTAATGTTCACCGAAATAACAACGTATGGGCTTTGCATATAAATATATAGATAACAACATTATCCCTAACATATTCGGTATTTTAATAAAGTTTTGATGCCTATGATAAGCTGTACCCGTTTGCAACTGCAAACCGGTTTCCTAAGATAAACTATATCCGTTTGCAACTGCAAACGGGTTTCCTAAGATAAACTGTATGCGTTTGCAACTGCAAACAGGTTTCCTATGATAAACTGTACCCGTTTGCAACTGAAAACAGGAATAGGCATGTGGCAATCCGCCCCAGTTGCATTTACATTTATGTAACTGAAATAGCAAACAGTTAATGATCATCCATTAGGTGATTGAAAGTATTCTTCCAACCATTTGTATTGTTTTGGGCGTTTTCTATGTATATATTTATAATGAAAAATGTTGGTAATAACTGACAGATAAAATGTAGGTACATAAAAATTGATCTGATTGATTGACCTTATATACTAAATAACAATAGGAAAATGTAAGGTGGGGTCTTACAGTTTAAACACGGCAGAGTTTAGTAGGCAATATGGAGTTTGTCTTATTAGCCATAATTAATTACAATTATTATATTGATGTATGTGTAATAGGTAACCGTGTCCCATAAAAAGTATTTAAGTGTTTCTACCAGTTGTATAGTCTACCTATAACACAGGCTCTGCTTAACTTGGGTCTAGATGGCGCTATATGAAATATTTAAGGTTGAATATTATTACATCTTGCGACCGATCGTCGTGGAGATCTTTGGGGGAGGCCTTTGTTCAGCAGTGGACGTCTTCCGGGCTGAGATGACGATGATGATGATTATTACATAGATAAAAGATAACATACGTTGCTATTTCTTAGGATAAACGTAATAGTAAAAGAAAGTCTATTTGTTTCTTCACTTAAATCTGTAAAGTAAAGCACGCAACGTATTTTAATACAACATCCACTGTCATTGTTTTTATTCTATTATATCTATATAGTGATCTATGTACACATCTTTCTAAAATAAATGATACCATTCCCTAAAGCAATCTTGAAAAATTATCGCGGTAAAAGCTCATTAACATAGTAAAGTCATATATAACCCGTATTACTTTCCAGACACGAAAGCTGTCCTTGCCTAAAGCTTTTTGATAGAAATGTGTTGACATCATACATTGCTTCTTCTAAGCTCAATAACATTGCTCCTCTTTGTGCAACATCAATGGATGAGTAGGCATGAGATAGTTTAGAAATGTTACATGGGTAGAGGGCGCATATAAATCGAGGATATTGTCCCTTTTGATTTGGAATTCAGCAGAATGAACCACGGAAATGACGTCAACACGCTTTGTTTCAACTTTATGCTTTATTCTATGTGTAGTTGAGAGCGTTGTAGCCGTGTTGGATTCAAATATACCTTCCGGAATGTAGGCATGTCAAATGCTGCGATTATATTGAAATAGACGGGAAGGAAATTGTTGTCTATGTACTAAGTCAGGTTGATTGCCACATGATTCCCAATGGAAACCATAATAGTAAATTTCCTGTGAATTTGTCACGATAGGCTAACTGACCTGACCTTATGTGAACCTTATCATCCTCCACTGATGCCCCGCCAGTGTAAATCGTTAGCTTAGCAGGTGCACTATTCCTTCATGATTCATCAAAAAAATTACGTAATAAATTGACAATGCCTCTGACTACTCCATCGAGGATAATAATAGTGGTATATTTATCATACATGTGTAGTTAACGTATATGACGCGTAACATGTTTTAAAGTATGACTGTTGACGTATCTATACTAATATTATAAAGCTGAAGAGTTTGTTTGGTTGTTTGAACGCGTTAATCTCAGAAACTACTGGTTTAAATTGAAAAAATATTTTTGTGTTGGATAGTCCATTTGTCGAGGAAGGCTTTAATCTATATAACATTACGCTATGATCAATAGAAGCGGAGCTGCAATGAAAAATATTGCAAATGGTAGGGAAATGAAACTCAGACGAAGTTGCGTGAGTCAGATAGTTCAATAAAAAGAGTGAAATATGTTTTATCATGTATTACTCACAAGCCTATACCGCAATTCTGCTAGGATAAAGATAGATGTATAGGTATCGAGGGCCTCGGTGATCAAGCGCTTTACCGCTTTACTTCCGATGCTCATAATGATGTATATTAGTAGTATTTACAAAAAAAAAGTATCTACCTCAGTTGTCTAGTAGCCAAGCAAAGCTTATTACTAGATGGCGCTGTATGAGTTGTCCGGAGCTATTATTATTATATGTAGGTGTCAAATTTATTGGAGATGAACTTGGGAATAGTTAGACTACCCGAAACTTGCAGAATTATAAATGAGATCATCTTGAACGTCGATACGGTGACTTGCTCATGAATTATTAATACAAACAAGTGTTCGTCGAGTGAGTATTGCTGAAAACTTGAGTTTGTCATTAAACTAATAACATATTAATTCCAACTACGGTCGTGGTAAACTCACTTTTTAAGAAAAGAAAGAAAGAAAGAAAGAAAAACATTTATCGACAACCATTATTAACAATTCGTTCATTCATTCATTTAATATTCTTAACTAGTTAAATGTATAAAATAAATATATATAAATTAAAGGAAAATGTCAATTTGTCCATTACACTCATTTTACAAACATCCATAAGGGAAGTGTGTCCAGTGTCCACGCATAAAATTGTTAACGTACCTTAAAGTTTATTACTCTAGCAAGTTGGACCGACGATCTGGTCAAGATCGCTGGAAGGCATTGGATGTGAGCAGCGCAGGACCGATTGTTGTGGAGATCTTTGGGGGAGGCCTTTGTTCAGCAGTGGACGTCTTCCGGGCTGAGATGATGATGATAATGATTAAAAGTTATTATTATATCAGTAGTAATTTCTATTTATTGACCTTGCACCTTTTCTCGCCGATAGAAATACCCTCAATCGAAAATTTGCTGTAAATATTATCTTTCAACTCAACTCGGCTTACTCTATTATATTATTTGCCTTTGACAATATTGCTATAATATATGCTGATGGTCAGTCTATTGTCCCAAATTTGAATTTAAAAATAAATGTGTATTATTGTAAACATGTACAACCATATTTAAAAAGGATACGAGCCCGGTTAAATTTTGTCAGTTCTTTTCATCTCGAACTCTCTCTCATCTCCGAACTGACGACAGATTTGATACATCTTAAGAGTGTATAATAGATTTATAATAAATTTACTTAGGCCAGATTTACACGCTGGCCGGAAGTCTGGCCGATGCCAAATATGTCTGCAGAAACAGTTGCAGATACTTTTGTCAGCGGTTGGATATCGCGATTTGGCGTCCCTATTACTGTTACCACGGATCAGGGTCGTCAATTTGAATCCGCTTTATTCCGTCACTTAATGCAGTCCTGTGCAACTCGTCGAATCCGTACAACTAGTTACCATCCCTGCGCAAACGGCATGGTGGAACGCATGCACCGTCAACTCAAAGCAGCTTTAATGTGTCACGGCGATTTATGGATAACCGCGTTACCTTGGGTTCTTTTAGGTATGCGCACAGCAGTTAAAGAGGATCTAAAGACCTCCTCGGCTGAACTTGTATTGGGAGAAACTCTTCGCTTGCCGGGTGAATTTGTTACACCATCTGTCACTTCATCAACCATCAAAGATCCTACCGACTTCATCACACAGCTTCGTGCCACCATGAATAATATCATGCCCACGCCAGCGTCACATCATTCCAATCCGCCAACTTTCATTTATAGGGATTGGCCTTCCGCCACTTACGTTTTCCTAAGAGATGACAGCATTCGGCGTCCTTTGCAGGCTCCTTATACAGGGCCTCACAAAATTTTATGTAAGCGTGACAAAACCGTCACTCTTGAAGTCCAGGGTAAAAAAATGGAGGTCAGTCTGGATCGTGTGAAGCCTGCTCATATCATGCACGAGTCCTCACACCCATCCACACTTTCATCTTCCATTCCTTCAACTTCATCTTGTCCGCCAATCACAACTTTTCCTCATTCGCCACCATTATCTTCCTCCCAAATACCCTCGCCTTCCTCGTCACCACTAATTCCTTCTAACCAACCTGTTTCAGCTGCAAAACCTATAGTTACCAGGTCAGGACGGAGAGTTCGTTTTAGGGACATTTTAGATCTGTAGTTTCTTTATCTTATTTTATTATTATTATTTTTTTTTTTTATTGTTTTCGTTTCTCTTTCACCTTTTTCTCTCCGAGGGGGGGTGGTGTGGCGATTTACGGATAGTGCGCGGCAACACCGTTGCCTAGCGACGTTGTAGAAAGAAGAGATAACAAGCTTGTCAGATTGGGACACAATCGCTTCTTTTTAGATACATTAAATATACGTTTTTATATATATAATAAAACCATACAACTATTGTAAATACCACAAGAATATTACATTTATACATAGCCACCACTGGACTCGTTATTTAATCTTCCTCCTCCTGTCGCTGCCAGTACCAGCTGAACATAACATAAATAATAGCGGTAACAATATAGACGCTAAAGATATTTTGATTAGTAAAACATTAATATTTCATTTAAGCTGCTGCATATATAAGATAAATAAAATAAATAGAAATAGCAAGACAATCGCTCTAGTACCCGTAGGCATGTATTAAATGAAGGTTGTAAGAAACTTTGCTAGATGTACTCAAAACAAAGCTAACCTGAATATGCAAATTGCGAACATTAAGATAACGGTTTGCCATTTCAGTTGTTTGTTTATATTTGCTCGCTCATGCTCGCCTTCTTAAAGTTTTCTAAGGATTATGACTTTTCTTGATGACTTTATCTTGTAAATTCCTCTGTTCATTACCGAATTGTAGTAACTTTGGCATTGTCCGTCAATTATTTCTATTAAAGTAGCTGCCTATCTTGGGTTCACATGAAACTAATATAGGTACTAATAAAAATGTCGCTTTATGCCTTACTTATTTTATTTTTATCTACAATTTTGTTTTCAAGCTTTTTTAACAAATGATTGAAGCAATTAATCTTAAATATGCAATAGGTAAAATGAAAGAAGATGGGGGCCCAGATCTCAAACTTATCATGCCAAATACGATAGCTTTTAAAGTGCTTTAGTGTATCGAATTGGACCATTCATAACGCAAATTCATGCAAAGGTACTTTGGCTCTACAATAATCAAATTTGAAATTATACGGCACATAGATGCCATATCTTTATCTATCTAGCATTTACTACCATCACGCGGCAATACATAGTTACTGAATCCTTTACTTGTAATATATCATCTATACATATAAATAAAATTGGAGTGTCTGTTTGTAATATTGAAATAACCGTTTTTTAATACATGAATATAAATACGTACCGTATTTATATTCATGTATTAAAAAACGGTATACACCAAAATAACATTTTTTACAAGTTTTATCTGTCTGTCTGTCTGTCTGTTTGTTCCGGCTAATCTCTGAAATAGCTAGACTGATTTTGACGGGACTTTTTTTGGCAGGTAGCTGATGTAATAATAACTCTTACATACATATCTTACACCTTTCATCTACAATACGAGTATGTATATAGCCATAACCTCTTTCAAATCTATACCTCCCTTTACCTGCCACTGCCTGTACCAGAATTCGTCTGGCAATATAAACAGTGGTACCATCATAGCTGCTAAAAAGACATGGCACCTTGTTCTACAGAATTCAAACGGCAACTCAAATAGGGTACCACTTGTGTTTTACAAATTTTAATATTGAACAGACAATTTAATTTGTCTGAATTCTGAGACTAAACTCTCGTCCTAAACATCTGTTATTGACCAAATATAAGAAGCACTAAACAAATTTCTTATTAACACAATTTACTTCATGTACCTTCAGTAATAACGCCAGATGGCACCGTGCCAAAGTTATGAGCAACTTGTGCCATGTGGCAGAAGCATTCCTATGCAAACTGCTTAATCTTTACAATCATTCCAGAATGCTTTTTGTCCGTACTCCCGATTATGATAATACTATGATAATAGTAGACTTCGAGAGTGTTACGTTGGTTATTGATCATAAGTATTGACGTTATAAGGGTTGGTGTCGACATGGCCGCAGTTCTGGATATATTAAAGTGAGCCAAAGCCTCAGAACACTATAAATTAATCGTGTATAAGGGAAAAGGAGAGAATCTACACTACTACACACACACTTAACGCAATACTTTATGTGTTAGTGAAAAGAAGAAACAAAATGCAAAAATGGGCATGGACTAAAGTCTATGGAAGTAACCAAAATGGTAACTATAAAAAAACTTGGTAATTGTGTATTATGTATTATGATGTTTTATGTAATTATGGAAAAGAGAGAAACACGAGCTGTGAAGGCGAGTGACGTACGTCGACAAAGGGTCTTCAATCTACATATGGTCACAGGTCCCGGGAACTGCTCGGAGTTTCATTCTCTGCCACACGATGGATCCGGCATCCAGACAGTGAATCCATGCTAAAAAGTTCGTGTCTCTTACGCTCTATTGTTTATATTGATATTTTTTTATATCATACTGGTATTTATATACTTGTGGCAATTCTGAATCAAATCAAAATGATACAAAAAATACACTTGCATAAACTATTATTAGTGAGAAATATAAAAATACTGTTAACTGTTACGTCGTCAGTTTTTTTTAGAAAATATATCCTATGAAAATAGCGTGTCAGAATCTATCTCCACGTTCTTTCATTAAAATTGGTTTAATCTTGAAAAGTTGTGAAAACAGACAGACATACTTTCGCATTTATAATATAACTTACTTCATTATCTATGTTTCAAGTTGTAGAAACTGAGATTTAAATTTACAAATTGCCATATAAAGTTTCTTTAATGTATGACAGAACTGAACTCATGACTTAAGGCCTAAAATGAACCTTTATTTTATCTTTTTATAAGAGCCTGTAATAGAATATAATATGAATAAAGATATTTTGATTTGATTTGAAAATAATGTAATTATAGTATAAGCTATTATATTCTCTCCTCAAATGATTGCAACATATGTTACACATATACTTTTAGGGATTTATTACAAAATTAAGTCTTGCTTTCAATATATTTACGTTTTCTTCTATAATACTTTCATCTCTCAAAGGAAATTATATTATTGCCTTATTCATTGATTTCTAAAAACTTTATTATTTAGTCAGTTACTTACTTTATTTTCAGTAATAATACTCATACTAAAAAATATGATGTAATATTCAGATTACATTAAGTTGGTAATCCTTTTTTTATTTTATGATAATGTCCACTTCGTCATATAATAGTCTTGTATCTAGTTGAGTTGAAGTTAAGATAATATTACTTATTAAAAGATATCTGTATCCTCTGACACAAGTGTCAAGAATTTGAGTTTAAGCATTTTTTATATATATATAAATAATTATAAAAGTGTATAACTAAGTGTAAATAAATAAATATAAATATTGTCGAAATCACTATACGAGTTTGATCAGACACTGGTTTGATTGCAGAATTTCATGAAATTAAGACTTTTTACAATATTTAAATGTTTTTGTTACAGAAAACAACACGCAGTTGGATCGAGAGCACCTTCCAAAAAAGAGAGTGCAAGCAGTTCGTGGCCAGCGCGAAAGATGAGCATGTGTGAGTATCTGTTTATCTATGTTTTAAGCATTTTTATATAATAGCAATGGCTATGACATTCAGCTTATGTGGCTCATAAAAATGCTATCACTTTTGCAAGAATGGAATAACCTTTAATCTTCTAATAATTATTATGATTTTTTTTATACTACGATGGTAAATAATATATCTGATGGTAAATGGTTACCGTAGCCTATGGATGCTTGAATCACCAGGGATATCACGTGGGCGTTGTCAACCCTAAAATCGTAAATTGCATACCTCCTGATGCATGAGGCTAACATATGTACTCTATTTTATTATACTACACTGAAAAAAAAAACAAGTTCAAAAAATAAATTTTCTCTATCTATCTAATTGCAAATTGCAAGCGTTGTCTTATACTATTCACTCATAATTTAAGAACTGAGCTCGTGTCGGTGAGCTCTCGCCACCTTCCACGATCTTATAACAATCTTTTTGTTGTTTTTGTTTAACAATCAGTTGCTTATACGAAACGTCTCCAACTTTTTCCTTAACCTTGATATAGCTGTGTTTTGGTCTTCATCTTCCTCTCTTTCCATCTATTTTTCCGTCGACAATATTTATAATCTGTGTCTTTTTTTAGCTCTTTCAAGTACTTCTTGATTTCTTACTTATCTAAGCCTGATACTAAATCGCCTAATAAATAGCAGACTTTCAACAAGTTATACATGTGTACAGCATACTACATGTGACTCCCGTGATGTCGTCATACGTTGCTATTTCGGAGCTTTGTTGACCTGTAATTTCGCTGCTTTGTCTCAACATTAACCTAAAATCTTAGAAAGCTAACTACTTGCCAGCTAAAATAGGTGCGATTAGGGTACTCACGTATACGACTTTTTACAAAGTCTTTGATGGTTGTATGATTATGTTTCTTCAATTCTAGTGACTGACGGGTCCTAGAATAAGCACTTACGGGTATACAAATATTATATATATTTCTAGCAACTGCTGTTTTTACCAATAATCTCTCAAATAGGTACAACATAAGAAACATTTGTAGTTATTGAATTGTTACATAAATCAGCATAATCAAGTAATGGAATATCTGATAAATGATCCAACAAAAATAAAAGAAAAAAACAATATCTTTAACAGAGGTAGACTTTATACATACCTATCTGCCTGGCTAAGTCTGTACGCCAAGCAGATTGATTAAAGAGAGTGTGTCCACACTATAAAATTACGATACATTCTTCAGTATTTATTCTATCTCTATTCAGAAGTCTTGTACTCGTAGACACAAGCGCAATACCACTTTACTTACTTACTATATTTTCAAACAAAATTTTGCCGTAAATATTTACGTCCTGCTCTACTCGGTTTACTGTATTATTACAGTAATTATAAAAGTATTTTTTACATTACTCAGAAAATCTATTATAATTATAATTGAATTGTTAATGCGAAATAAAGATATATCCTTTTTTTGATGAAAATTGAATCAGGTTTTTAGCTATGTGTAATTCTAAAACAAACTTGTTTAAAGAAAATCTGACTAGTGTGAAACTTTGATATTAGTTGCATATCCTATCTAGTTTAATTAGTTATTGTAGAAAATGTTCACGTAGTAGCAGTAGTAGTAGCATGTTTTGTATGGAGAGGGATAAGCGACATGCAGCCTTAAGCTGCGTTTCGGTAGGACTATGAAATGACAGTATAATGTTTAATGGATTTATATTATTATACAAAATAGATGTAAGTGTAGTTACAATGTAGTGTTTATTCAATTTTATATACATATAGAGAGTTTATTTACGAATAGGCCCCACCAGCACAATAATCCATAATGTAGATACTATGGTTCCTTTCTAATTTCTAGGTCTACTTTAACTATATTAATTATAATTTTTAACGCCTCTATAGTTACCGGATTACTTACAGGAAAGAATGGTGGTATTATCATTTGGCCTATCAGCGTAATCGCCCTTTGAAAGACATGAAAAATATTTATATCGATTGGTTTAAAAATATAACTTACAAGTACCTCAATTAGTTCGGGAGAAACTTCTAACAAACTAGGTAATAACTTGACACCAACTTAATATGGCGAATGGCGCACTTCGCTGTAATTGGATGTCACTTGTCTAAAACTTTCACCTAACAATCTGTTCTAGAGGGAGATTTTGTACTAAGTTAGGGTGTAAAGATTTATTCTTCATTTTTTGGTACATTATGGACATACCATGGGAAATAATTAAAGGAATTATTCAGATAGATGCCGGAATTGCAAAATCACATAACCACATTAAAATTCCATCATGACTGTTATGAAAAACTTGTTAGTTCAAGCGTATTTTAAGAGTCTGAATGGTTACGTAGCATACAGATTCTTCAATAATTATAATTCTATCCTGACTGTTATGAACAATTATAGTACTTTATGTGTATTTTAAGAAGATGTATGTCACGTCATATGTCACCCATATTTTCAATTTTTCAATCCCCAAAAATAGTATTTTCAAATCCATACGATATTGAAACCCAAGAAAAGAGCAAATTCCTAATCGCGCTCATTATCATACTACAAAATCATGATTATTGATAAAAATAAAGATCTATTTATTATAAATGTGCGTAACAAAAGAAACTTTTATGCATATATGTGTATTTGACAATATTGCAGTGCCAGTACAAGATTGGAATTCTCTTATAATACTAAAAACAGCGTACTTAATATCTAGAAAGTATAAAAACGTAATACTGTTATGAAATTTTGGTTTCGTTCTGAACAGCTACGTATCTCGGTAAACGAGATACTTAATGCTGTGGAAGCCAAGCAGAAATATCTGTGTATTTTGTGTATTATGCGATACTAGTTCTTATCCACAATTTTGTCTAGTTTTTTATCTATACATATAATAAATTGCTTATAATACTCATGTGCTATCTTCAGTTACAAGTGCAATAAACACTGTAAAAATTGCAATGTATGTCTATAATAGAGTACAAGAAATAAATAAAGGAGGAATAAATAAAGTAAGAAGGGAAAAATCTGATATAAACCGTAAGCTCCAATGTTTCCGGAATACTCTAAACATAAAGAAAAGATAATTGATATGAAGTAAATTCTTTAATTAACAATTTACCTTCCACATCACATATATCTACATAAACATCTTGTTCGCTTGTTCTTGCCCGCGGTCTTTGTTTGTAGGAATCTATAATAAGAACATAAACATTATATTTAAATACCTTAATAGTATAGCAGTTTAACATACAACCTTACTACCGATGTTAAATGGTTTAATTCTCATACAATACAGATATTTGTGTTCATGGGTATGAATCTTTGTATTGTACTATGTGAAATATCAGTACATAGTATAAAACAAAGTCGCTGTCGCCACGGATTTTGAAGCAGATTTTAGAATATGATTTTTTAATAGATATGTAGAGTGATTCGAGTGGAAGGTTTATATATACACTTCTGCGAAACCGTGTTGAGTAGCTAGTAAATAATGAAAACAAAGAGACTGATTCATCGAATTACTTTTTTAACATTTAATTTTATAACTAAATTTTGCTCGATCTGATGCCAGGAAGTGGTTGATGAAAATTGACAATCAAAAACATGAGAACCTTACCTAATAATAACAAACCCAACGCAAAAAGAACTAGCAAAGTAGGTTCAGCCAATTACGCGTAATGTCGTGACCAAGAGGAATAGCATTCATTCATGTATATAGATTATAATGTTTTGGTAATTTATGACATCATCATCTACTTCTTCCTTATCCCATTTATTTTGAGTGGCCAGATATGTTTTTCTCTTCCTTTTATCCTTGTTCACAGTCATCACGTTATTTACTCCCTTTCTTACCGTATCATCTTTCACACAGTCCATCCATCCCTTTTTCGGTCTTCCTCTGCCCTTATAACAATATTTTAAGGAAGGTGTTGCATATGAATGTGGACAATCATTTGTAACACTTTCCTTAAAATATTTTTATAAATAACTAGTTACCCACCCCGGCTTCGCTCGGTTGTATATGTATTATACATATAAGCTTTCCTCTTGAATCATTCTATATATTAAGAAAACCGCTTCAAAATCCGTTGCGTAGTTTTAAAGGTTTAAGCATACGTAGGGACGGACAGACAGCGACAGCGACTTTGTTTTATACTGTATAATAATGATATGCTATACTGGATATTTTAATTATAGGTACAAATCTCCAAAATATACAAATATACTACATGATATTACAGCACAGATAATGAAATATTACATAGTTCTAGCATAATGTTGTCTATGTAACAGTAATTATCTCTGTGTAACTTATGTATGATGTTTATTTTTATAGTAAAATTATCTTAACACTTACGTTAAGATAATCGTACGCTTATCACTTCAGTAAATATTTAGAAGATTCCATTTCTATTAGATACTTATCATCCTACAAAAATTTCTTTAACTAATTAAAAAAAGGAGCCATGTTGACAGATACAGATACGTAGAACTTATAATAAAGGGGAGTTACTGAAGAGAAAAGATTTGGTATTTCTGTTAATAATATAATAGGCGAACTCGTATAATATTTAATTGTTAATACAGAAAAATATAATTAACAGTGTAAGACTTTTACCTAGCTTTCTTTTATTGAAGACTTTTACCTACTAGAAACTCTCGGTGTTGCTAGACACCGCGATTAATCGGCCGACGCGACCATAGATTCGTCCTTATGGCCCGAGCAATAACTTTTTTTTACAAGGGGAATCCGTCAGGGTCAATCCACCCGGGGGAATGCGAGCGGATACAGCCGAACTTGTATTGCCTAAAACTCCTTAGTGTTGTGGTTGTGTGTTCTTTACTCACTACTAGCGCCAGGATCACGGGATCGAAGTCGCAGTCCAGTCCAATCCAGTCGCCCCGGCCCGTGCAATAATTGGTTTCACTATTGTTAACTAAAAATATATTTACATTCCCCATCTTCCTCAATACAGGACTCATGGTATCGCCGTATGCTTGCCAGAATCGAGTCACGTGGTTCTTGGTGAGCTCACGGTTTTGAAGGTCACAACAAAGACACCAATGTTCATAGGCCACTTGTGTCAATATTCCTAGAATAATATCGTATAGTTAATACATGTTGTTGTTGGTATTGAGTAGTTTCAAATACACCACAGCGCTATCTAGTCCCAAACTAAGCTGAGCTTGTATTATGGGTACTAGACGACTAACAGAAATACTCCCCTCCGATCGATCCAACATCCAATTCAAACGGGATTCAACATTACAACAGCCTGAGCCGAGGTTCGAATCCCTAGCGGTGCTCTCAGACTAAATTCGTATCCGTCAGACGGGAGTTAGTCGTCAGCCGCTCCATAAGTCCTTCCGGAGGTTTTGAGTGCCGTAAAGGTTAACAGCGGTCTACAGCATTAGAGTAGTCCGAAAAAAAACTCAAATACATTTCTTTTATAAACACCTAGCAATCATCCAGACTAATACAAACAATCAGTAATGCAGATATTAGTATTGAACTCCGAATCTAATCTGCACTATGCGAATCAATCTAGTATGTTAAATCGCTAGAGTATCGACATAGTCAAATGTACATTTTGTAGTGATATTTCCGAACGGGTACGAAATATAAGACGTAAAGAAAAGAGCAAATTCTTTCTTAAAATGCCGGGATCTCACCTGCAATTCCCCTGTTGTTGCGGGTGGGTGCACATGGGCGTCGGTAATCACTTACTATCAGGTGTGTCGCGAGCTCGTTTGCCCCCCTATGCTATAAAAGATAATGCACAAAACACATGGCCTCGGCCTGATGGAAATAGGTAACCATCGTCTCTTCATAAGAGCAGGACCATATTACACAATATGTAATATTACATTACTCTGTGGCCGAGAATTAATGCGCGTGTAAGTTTCTATATACAATAGAAAATAAATCTAGAAAGTAAAATAAATAAAAAAATAATAAATAATAGTAAATGCCAACTATCGATGATAAATCAAACGACAACAATAAATAAAACATATATACAGTGAATTAGTAAAAATCAAGGGAACTTACCACGTTTCATATTTATTTGAGTTCCCGATATTTCGGCAGTATTTCAACCACCATGATCACGGGTATACTGATCCCGTGATTTTTACTAATTATTCGTGTAAATAATGACCGCGTCAAGTTTAAAACAGTACATGTATACAGTGGTACAAATTATTATGAAAAAAAATATTAAAGATAACCTATAGATATAAGATATTCACAAAAAAATATTATATGAACCCATATACATACATGTATATTGTATGGGGTGTATATGTTTTAATACCTAACATAGAAAATAAAATTTTGGCCTCGTTTCACTTATAGCAATAAAATTTAATTAGGTATTTGAAAATTACTGTTTATTTTTAACTACTAAATCGAATTCTTTATTTTAAAATTAAATATTTCTCACATTATTAATATAGTTGTATGCCATATAAAGGTACAAATCTCTCGACGTTTTGACTGGTAGCACTAACAATATTAATAATGTGTACTAAACGCGAAAGTTTAAAAATGAGTAAATGTTTTCCGTCCTGAAATTATGAGTATTTTCTATTGTTGTAAAATTTACTGAAATAAAAGGCCCGTTGTTAATCCTCGGGCCGCCCCGCCTAGGAAAAATTCCTGCACCTAACGTGGGCGGGAGTGTCCATAATTTATGACAATGGACCACAGTTAACTTACTAACCACGCTAATATTATCACGCACGTAATAAAGGGATAATATTTAACAAATTCCAGTTATTAAAAACTCAATACTACTGTTTTGGGTTGACTGGAAGAGATCTCTCTTAGGGATAAGTGCACCTTTGCTTACATTGTCTCTAAATTATATTATGAATTATCCTTGCTATGAGGAATATATATATAAAATATTTTTCAATCAAAACATTTAATAATAATTAAAATCTAATTTAACAAGAATTACGTTATGAAACTGTACCGACTCTATATTTGCTATTTCGTCCCTTAAGCTGACACTATATATGCCAGGAAATACAACTTTTAACATCAGAAGAGTGATAAACTTTTCTGTTATATAATGAAATGGCAAAGAAGCTGACAGCTCACCTGATGGTAAGCGGTAACCGTCACCTATATGCATGAACAATACTAGGCACCACGTTAACATGTGAGACACAGAATACCACTCATACTAAGACTAAGATGAGATGCCCCTTATCCTGTAATATCACAGAATGAAGGCATCCTACAACCGAAATATAACTTACAAAATAAGCTGCACGGCGGCTGAAATAGGTAAGACTAAGTTACAATTAACTTTTAGTCTACCTATAATAAAAAGTGCATAATCTAACACTATGTCTAGTTATTAGAAAATAATTAATATTAGCAAATAGTGTCAAAATATTAGGCTAACATTACTATAACTACATATAATGTATAATTTTTTTAATTTATTTTACATCCTGTATAAATTATTATATACTTAGAACTTAAACCTTCAGACGTAGACATATAAAGATGGAACAATTAGGAAGAAAGACAATAATTATTGTCAAATATTCATTTTCCCAGACGCATTCATTTAACTAATAACTAAATAAGAATATTGTATACACATACAATCATATGTATATATATACATAATAATACATATAAGAACTCTTTGCAATTACACTACTTAACATTATTATTAATTACACTAGAAAATATATCTTATATATAAAATTCTCGTGTCAAAATGTTAGTTACCATACTCCTCCCAAACGGCTTAATCGATTTTTATGTTATTTCATATGCATATTCAGTAGGAATCTGAGAATCGGCTATTATCTATCTATCTATCATACCCCTAAGTGGTAAGGGGGGGGTGGATATTCCAATTTTTTTTTTCGACTTAATATTTTATTTTCTTTTTATTATTATTTATAATTGAAAAATACATACAACCCTAAATTTTCACCCTTATAGCATAAACCCCTATTTTTTAAAAGCGATTATAATTTATATCGCAAAACAACGTTTGTGAGGTCAGCTAGTATGTATATAAAATGTGTGGTTGACGACATGACCGACACTTAGCACATGCTGTGACAGCTAACTGTCACGGTTTTCATTCACATAAAATGTAAAGTTAAACAACACTTGTTTTGTTTGGTAACTTGTATTCACATGAAATGTATAAAATGTGAAGCTGAATAACATCTGTTTTATAAAAGAAACAAGCAAGTTCCTTGCTTGTTCTTCTGCTGAAACAGCATTCCAAATTTGCAGCGGAATAAACAGAATTTCTACTCAAAAGTGCTTATATTAGGTTTATTTTAATAAAAATATATTTGATTCTCTTTATATGTACTGCTATTTTGTCCGCAGTGTTGAAAACCAAGTGTGGGGATCCTATCTCCCTATTCAAACTAAAAATTCAACGTAAATCATTTGTAAAAAAAAACTGTTATCATTATGTGGGAGAAAAATCACTTATATTATTATTATATTAGTGTCATTATGAAGTGAAACAACTGGCTACGAGACATGCAGTCTTAGTGCTCTAGAATGGTGAACACATGAGTGATATGGCGTATTTCGTTCGTGTATATTTGTATAGACGACCGTTACTCCTTACCATTCTCAGGCGAATCCCGATTACCATTCCAATGACGAGAAAAAAAAGAGCGGGATAAAAGTCCTATGTGTCATAAAGATTAACAGTTCACAACTACTCTATCCTATTATATTTGTTATTGTTGTTATAGTTGCGAGCATATTTTAAATCCGCTGGAGGAGATAGAATTGTTATAAAAACCAATAGCATTTCCGTTTTGCAAACAGTATGCACAGCAGTTGGAACAGAAATTGCACGTATGTTTTCTATAAATAAAATCTACGTAGATACGATACAATATGTGGATTGTCTCTCTGTGTTCACAATAGTATATCTTCAATACAGATATTGAAACTCTGTACAAATTACAGATATTATAAAGGAATGAAGGTGTGCATTACGCACAGAGTATATTGTCTGTATCACAGAGTAATAAACACAATGTTTTGTAAAAGTTCCCACTGAAGTTATGAAGTTATGAAGAAGAATTAAGAAGTTATGAAGATTGTACCAATATTAATTATACGCTAACTCTATAAATAATTTTACATAAAAATTGGCATTTGGTTTCATTACCCGTATAAATTTAAAAGTAGACTAGGCTGTATGGTCTAAGGATCTTTACCTGTTCCATTATTAAAAGATAGGCAGATATGAGAAAAAAAATGTACCAATATTGAAATTATGCAAAGACCGGTTGATACGATAGATTTGTATCAATTACCAGCAATAACAGCTAAATGCAGTTTCGCTGTCAATTCTTCTAGCAACTCGTTCTCCTCTGTACATACAGGATAATTTCTCTGAAATAAAATAGTATGCTGTGTTAACAGTCTTTATTGTTAGTTAATAAATATTTGCTACTGTTTATGTTTCAAAGTATACACATATAACATATGTTTGTTCACTTACAAAGATTCACTCTTAAGTCGTAATTTAAGTAATGTTAATAAGTTGAATCTGAAATAAGATTTTGAATTTAGAATAATAATTCTAATTTTAAATAATGAAGATATTTAAAAATTAAAGCTTTATAAATTTAATTCAGGTTAATTACATTAAATATTTGACACAGAAGGTTTTTTTTTTGGTTTGATTCTGACTACTGCCATCAAAGTTCTTTTAAATAATGTTTTTCAATAAATAGCATAGACACAGCAAATTTTAGAAGTAGAGTAAATGTTGTATTATCGCAAAGTTTTTCCATTTATAAATTTGTAATCTTATCGTACTGAGGGATATTTTATCAGCAAGTGTGATGAACCCAATGATCATACGGCTGTTCACAAAGTTTATCGAACTTACGATAATGCTTCTATCTCGTGGGAGAGTAGGTCAATGTTTTATATTTTTAAATTTACTTTTATCCATGATAATTCCAGTTACATCGTGTTTTATTAGTAATCTTATCTGCTATTATAAAATCAAAATTTTGATGGCGAAAGGTTAATGTTTTGCAATGAAATTTTTTGCAACTAAAATAATTATTTATTTCATAGCTTCTTTTTCTAGATTTCAGATTTATTTAGGGACTTTTATTATCATAAAATATGATAATGCCAGGTCCATAGTTATTAGTAATATTAGAATATTAGAAAATAAAAATTTTGAAGGATGATACAGGAAGATCAATGTTTTGTATAGAAACTCTTATGCAAGTAAAATAATTATTTACTTGATAAAGAGGTCTGCCTACCCCAACACAAATTACAGCCGTAAACTCTCCAACCATCAATGAACTATATAAGAAACTATACAAATAAATAAAATGAATGTGTCTGTTTCTAATTTGAAATTAATAGTTTCTTACAAAATTCATACGCAAGTATATATATATACGGTAGTTACATAAAATAAGTGTAATTTAAAAATTTTATTTATCCATACATATAAATATAATTGGAGTGTCTGTTTGTAATATTGAAATGACCGTTTCTACTACATGCCTATGAATAGAAATACGGTACATACACAAAAATGACATTTTTTACAATTTTTGTCTGTCTGTCTGTTCCGTCTAATCTCTGAAATGGCTAGACCGATTTTGACGGGACTTTTCTTGGTAGGTAGCTGATGTAATAAGGAGTAACTTTGGCTACTTTTATTTTAGAAAAATAAAGCTAAATTCCACGCGGACGAAGTCGCGGGTACAACTAGTTTTAAATAAAAAGACAAAGTTAAAGTCCTATGCGAACGAACGGGGTACAACTATTGGTAGTTAGTATTACAATAACTTTATTTTGAGACAATATTATTTAAATATATCACATATTCAGTAGGTCTGAGAATCGGCTCCTATCTATATTTCATAGCCTGTGTGATATGGGTTGTCCATCCCTAACATATTTTTTTTACATTTTCTTTTTATTAAAAAATACATACAACACGATCCAGCAAAATAGATGAGTGTTTACTACCCCGACAACAAACTCGTATATGCAGGTCATCAGTGAATCGCAATTGTGTGTGTGTATTTATTTATAACTAGCTGTTCCTGCGAATTCGTTAGCGTGGAATTTAACTGTATTTTTCTAAAATAAAAGTAGCCTAAGTTACTTTTTATTACATCAGCTATCTGTCAAAAAAAGTCCCGTCAATATCGGTGCCGCCATTTCAGAGATTAGCCGGAACCAACAGACCGACAGACAGACAGACAATAATAATATAATATAATAAGTGGTTTTACACCAAGTATGTACCGTATTTATATTCATATGCATGCAGTAAAAAACGGTTATATCAATATTACAAACAGACACTCCAATTTTATTTATATGTATAGATATTACCTTTATTGTCTCAAGCACTTGACACAATGATTATAGATCTAAATATCAGAAAAGATATATATATGTACAAAATGGCGGCCTTATCGCAGAAAGCAATCTCTTCTAGACAACTTTTAGGTGTAAAAAACATGAAAATTGGTAGGTGGCGCATGAATAGTATGAAGACTATGTATATTATGAAATTGGACTAGGTATATTGTATTACACAACTTTCTGCCATTTGATTACCTACAACCAACTTTGTACGTAAATTCATACAAATTATAGATAGCTAGAATAGATAGAATATACTTTATTTGTAACACACAGTAAAGAAAAGACATAAACAATATATTAAAGGAGAATATGTAACGTCAACCTTATTGCTGAAAGCAATCTTTTCAAGGAAACCTCAGGGAAATCGATTAAAAAATGAACAGATAGATAATATAAATTATACATAGAAAACACCCAGACCGATACAAACAATCATACCCATGAATATAAATGTTTGTAACGTGCGAGAATCGAACCCGCGACTTTGCAAAGACCACCGAGTCCGTCACATATATTAAACTTTCTTAAAGGTTGCAACGCGCATGACAAACCTGGTGTTTCAGATGTCCATAAGCCACGGTAGCTGTTTACCATCAAACGGTTATATAAAAATGGTCTTATTCTGAAATAATTGCGGTCCATTTCGTTTGAATTTCCAAATGGAAAATAGTATGAGATATAGAACGAAGCTAGTCAAGTGCCCCTTTGTCCGCCGGCTCCCGGGGTTGCCAGCGTCTTTGTGCGAGATAAATATATGGGAATTGAGAACATTGAAAGCTTAGTTCTCGACAAATATTTTCACTAAACCAATCATGATTTGCTATTTGGCTGCAGACGATTTTTATCGCAATTTTAACTATACAAAATAGTATAAATTCACGTCGTATATAATATTAACATGCTTGGACAATTCACATTGCGTCATCTAGTTCCATGCTAAGCAGAGCTGCTTATATTATGGGTACTAGACATTTGGTCTAAATACGTAGGTATATACATTTTTTTCGTAAATACGTACATAGCAAATACCAAGACCGATACAAACAATCATACTCAGTCACAAACGTTTATACCGTACGAGGAATCGAACCCGCGACAATCGAAAGCAAAGCGATGTGCTAAACCGCTATATACCGAGGCCGTCATATACAAAAATAGATTTGTATTAAAGCAATTTTCGAAATATTTTGATATTCATGGTTACAATATTGCATCTTCTTATTAATTACAAAATACTAAGGCAAAAGGGAAAGGGAGGGAAGTATGTCTATCTGTTTCTTCGTTATTTTTATATGCTGAACAGATCTTAGTAAGATATATCAGAGACAAACTTATATTTCATGTAGAGTTATTGTCTTAATTTTTCCGAATGAGGAGATTAACCAATCCACAGTATAAAACAAAGTCGCTGTCGCTGTCTGTCCGTCCCTATGTATGCTTAAATCTTTAAAACTACGCAACGGATTTTGAAGTGGTTTTTTACAATAGATACAGTGATTCTAGAGGAAGGTTTATATATATAATATATGTACTGCCGGGCGAAGCCGGGACGAGTAGCTAGTAAAGTATAAGACAAACCTTTATGTAGTCCATTATAGCACTAGTCGGTGCGAATTGTTTCCACATTGTCAATTTTTCAACTGCCTCATGAATCATTTCAGGTGAAATCTATAAATATTTTATTTCTAATAATTAATTCAATCTGTTGAAAAGTATAAAAAAATTGATGGATTTGAACACCTGATGATGTCTCGTTCAGAGGCGCAACACGTGTCGCAATGTGGGTGTGGACTCAATAACGGTCGGAATTTGATCGCCATTAGAGAAGGTCGTAACGGTAGTCAAGTTTCCACACCGAATATTTATGGTCTCACACATGCTAATTATGGCGTAATTAAATAAAATAATATAAATTAATCAAGTAGTAAAATGGACTTCCGCAATATAACACCTAATTCGATTAAATGTAATTACAAATATTATAAATGCAAAACTGTCTATTTGTCGTGTCACGGCTGAACTGATTATAATAACATTTATAATAATAATAATCCTGGATAATTCACACAACGGCGACAACTGACAGAAATACTTAAATACATTTTTTTAATAACATACATACTGAAGCAGGCCAGTACAAACAGTCATACTCATAAATACAAATGTTTGCATTATGTTTGGAATTGAACCGCGCTCTTTGAAAGTAAGGCGGTATGTAAACTATTGGTCTAGTAGCCCTTAATTTCAGTCTATCTTCACACCAAATTTACTTCCTTATTATATCTCAAAAAGCAAACAACATGAATATATATTGTATCACAAAAATTTACATAGTTTACAATATAATATAATCGAAAAAATAACAGACCAAATCGCGGATAATAGTGTATTATGAGTGCTAAAAAATATCTGTCTTACTGAAGCTACATCTATCGTAGATGTATCTGAAATGAAATGATATTTATTCAGTAGATGTTAAAAAAAATAAATCACACATTAAACAAACAAAAAAAAACTCAAACATTGCCACAATCACAAAAAAGAGTACATTTACCATTTATTGTTACAAAATTACAAATTACATGTGCACGCGTGTGCGTGCATGTGTATGTTTGTCGAAGTATCTACTGAATAGGTCCGTGCTCAGCATAATACTGCAGCGGCTGGAGCGCTGCAACGCTGTTTTTCAGCACAAGACCTGAGGTGGTGTATTGCTGTGTTATACACGATTTATGATATGATATAGCTAATATATAATGCTAAATATATAATGAATTGATATAAATTAATATACATAAATACATAAGTATTATGTGTTATTTGAAAAGATAACAAATAGACAGATTATCTTATCTTAGGATACCTTACTTAAAAGAGCAGATGAAGTCACGGGTAACAACTAGCGAGATAGCAATTTTATATGGCCGACTAATTAACCATGCAAATGGGAAACCTAGAAACGACCCCGTATAATGTAACTTGGTTATGCACTTTTATTAATAGTTTGTCCTTAAGACTCTGCTTACAGCGATAAAGATGTTTTTGTAATGAATAAATGTAAGTAATATAATCTTTACTAGTGCTAAATTACGAAACAAATACATATATATTATATTTATTTTAAAGAGGTCTATGAGTTTCGTCCATTCGTAATCACAACTTTCATGTTTATAATATTAGCAAGATAAGTTTTTTTATTAATTTTATTTGTTTCTCTATTGTGTTTATTATTACATTTTTTGGATTATGATATTAACTAGTACTTCAGCCGCGATTTGATACGGCCAAAGTTTTAATTGTTTAATGTGTTCCTCTGGAGGGGATGCTAAATTACGAAACAAATACATATATATTACTAGCTGTCCCGGCAAACGTTGTTTTGCCTTAAATTAAAAAAAAATATAAAATTAGGATTGGACTACCCTTAACATTTAGGGGGATGAAAAATAGATGTTCATGAGAATCGATCAAGCCGTTTCGGAGGAGTATGGGAACGAAAACTGTGACACGAGAATTTTATATATAAGATTTTGTAAATAAACACGTTTATATATATGCATATTGCGAATCGAACCCGTAACCATCAGAAGGAAGGCGGTGTGCTAGACCAAAAGACCACTGATATCGTCGACCTTTGATGAACTTTTTCTTTTTTGACAGTAGATAGAATATGAAATGCCAGGAGGCTTACAAACAATATATTGGATAAGCTCTCAGTATAACGATAAGCCCCGCGTATCAGCGAGACGTCGGATAAAACAAAGAAAAAATAATGCCGATCACTCAGAATAATAAGTAAAGGTCGATCCATGAAACATTGATATAAAAATAAACCAGATCCATGCCCATTGAGATGTACCTAAAGCAGTGTTTCCCAACCTTTTTAGAGGCATGCTCCACCTTAGTCTTTTATTTATTTATAAACTTTTTATTTCACCAATAGTATTAATACATAAGACTTATACAGAAAAGAGATATGGAAGTAGAAAAGGCGGTCTTATCGCAAGAAGCAATCTCTTCCAGACAACCTTTAGGTAGAAGAATATATATAAAATACAACAAAAGTGGTAGAGTGGCGCTTATGAATAGCAATGGAATGAATGTTGCTCTTGTTGTCATAGATGAATCAAATTTATCGACAGGTTACAAGTCAATTATAATTATATGTATATATATTAGTTTTCCAGAAAAATGTTTTTATGAAAATTGGCTTTATTAAAACCAGTTTTCCTGTGATACTTTGCGTCACATTTTCCCATTTCTACAGTAGTTTTAATTGCAATACCACTCCTATTCGTCGTAGCGTGATATTGTTAAATCCATAGACTTCTACAAAAAATGGGTTATCCAACACAAAAAATTTTAATATCGGATAAGTAGAATTGGAGATTACTCTGAACTTTCAAGCTCACAAATTTTAATTCTTAATATTAGTTTAGTTAGATTATACCAGCGACCTGCCTGGCTTCCAACTGGTGTTAAAACGAATTTATTTAAAATTTTCCACCTATTAGGCAGTGTAACCTAGCCCAAAACTGGCTTGTACTATTCTATAAGATAACTGATACACTTATTTTTTAAATGATATACTCACGCCTGTTGTCATAGATGAATCAAAATTATCGACAAGTTACAAGTCAATTATAATTATATGTTTACGTAGAAAGTGTAAATAAAATATTTATATGGATTTGTATTATAATTATATCATAGGAAATGTAACTATATTGTGTGCTTTATATATTATATATGGAATTAAGTAAAAATTTAAAACTTTGGAATATTAACTCTAATTTATTAATTTAAGATTGAGTTCTATTAATTTTCATTTTTGTGTTAATGCAGTATTATATTAAACTTGCGATATATTGCAGTATAAATATTTTTTATACAATCCACTGCTTTACTGGTTGTTAATTCATATCACGTGATTGCATATCGTTCACCTGTGACCCCAACATGCAATCACAATTAATTATCCGCAATACCACAACAAAGGATCAATAGGCAATTTCCTGCAATCGCAAGTAATTACTATAACAAATAGGTTGTTACGGCGCGACAGCAAACGAAGTACGATTCCCATGAACTTTTTTTTCTAAAATCTACCCCCCCGATCGATCTCCTGTCCAATTCAAACAGGGATCGAATTTACGACGGCCTGAGCCGAGGTTCGAATCCCTAGTGGTGCCCTCAGATTAAAGTCGTATCAGGAGGGAGTTGGCCTTCAGCCCCTCTATAAGTCCTTCCGCGGGTTTAGAGTGCCTTCAGCACTCGCCCCCTATCGTTCGGTGAAGCTGTAAAGGCCAGTTGCGGCCAACAGCATAAAAGTAGTCCGAAAAAAAATGTAGGTAGGTACACTTCGAGCATTGAAACCGAACTGAACTCTGCATATTGTGCAGTATCATGGTTCTATTTAAAGAGAGGAAATGGCAGGTGGGGACATTATGGTCAATCAGAATTTATATCTTGTATTCAAAAATAAAAATATATTGTGGACATGTTTTTACTCAGAAAGTCGTCTAGTTTCTGAGTGAAATAATGTAGCTTTGTAGTCTCTGAAGTCTGGTTTAGCGGGGAAGCTTCCTCCAACTGACGCTAACAAGACATTTGAAATTGAAAGTGGAATAAATATAACACAATTCCATAGTTCAATACAAAGTACAAAGACTGTAAAGTCACTATATATTACTTACTTGTCATTTATTATAATTCGCCCAATTTACATATTATATTTTATATTATAGCTTATGTGTTATTCTAATGTATATTCATAGTTATGTACATCAGGGCTATATTACTGTAAAGTTTCATCAAAACCCATCAAGCAATTTTTCGAGAAAGAGTAACAAACAGTCATGCATCGATCTATACTCACATACATACCTGTTTATAATATTAGTAATATTTTTGTATTTAGTAGGAGAGTGTTGGATTGTTAGTTTACTACCCGGATTTGTCTCTAATAATGTATGTATATAATAATAATAATAAACTGATCCTCATGAATAAACTTAATATATATACTAACTGTTACTTGCGACTTCGTCCGTGTGGAGTTAATATTTTTTAATTTAAAATAACTAAGATTTCCTAAACACAATTAACCCGAGTTACTCCTATTAATGTAGACCCGTCAAAATCGGCCCAGGTGTTTCCAAGATTAGCAAGTACAGACATACGAAAAATTTAATTTTTAAACAGACACGTCAATTTTATTTTATGATGGACACACAAATAACAAAACAAAACTAATGCAAGAGACTGTAGTATGGAGTCGTCCACTGCAACGCTGAATTGAAAATACATATACTCAGCAAAATGCAGTCATGTCACGTTTTACGTTATCCACGAACGACATCGACAGTTGACAATTTGAATTCAACGTGGTAGGTGCCAAGGCTGCCACCTACCACTTTTACTGAATAAAAATCCCTAACTGTACTTAAAAAGTACTTTTCTTAGAAAACCTTGTCGCGTTTTGATCGACGAAGAGTCAACACTAGAATTCAGCTATATCCGAACTCTATTCAACGCCTGATGATGATGTTGATGATATGGGTGTAGACTCAAAAAGGTCGGAATTTGATCGCCATTAGAGAAGGTCGTAACGGTAGTCAAGTTTCATCATCGAATGTTTGTTGTCTTACACATGGTAATTGTAGTGGAATTAAACAAAATAAAATAAATCCATAAACCTAAAGTAGTTTTCCTACTAATATAAAAACTAACTTTGACGGCCTCGGTGGTCTAGCAGTTTAGCACACCGCTTTACTTCCGATGGTCGTGGGCTCGATTCCTCGCACGGTGCAAACATTTGTATTCTTGATTATGATTATTAGGAGATTATTATGAGTATTGGTGTATTCTATGTAGGTATATAATGTATGTATTTACAAAAAAATATTGAAGTATTTAAGTTGTCTAGTATCTATAACACAAGCTCTGCTTACCGTGGTACTAGATAGCGTTGTGGTAATTGTTAGGGTTATTTATTATTTATATCTTTAAACCTAAAAAGTATAGAATCATGGTAAATATCCCGTTTATGTAATGTCTGCAATTAAAATTTTGTGTTTGTTTATTTTCCATTTAGTTTACAAATAATAAACATATACTTTATTTATTTATTATAGAGTTCAAATTCGCGAGCTCCGCTAGTAAATGATGATTTTACCTCGCACCATGTTTTCTGTACTTCAGGCAGCTCTCCCAGAGTAGGCAAGGCATTCGTGTTGATAAATAACGGAGACAGCATCATGCTCCTCGAGCCAGCTTGGTCGCTCTTCGACTCTAAAGATACATAACACTTAATACTAATTTGCATAAAATCCAAAATATATTTTTTTAGGAATTCGCCTAGGAATACTTTTAAGTTTAAATTCGATTTTTCATAAGTTGTATTTTTTTAGTTTATTTAGTTTATAAGTTTAGTACTAAGTGTATGATATACATAAATCGATTGTAAGTTAACAATCAAACTTAATTTTTCCGTCTCTCTAGACTGTTAGAGACTGGATAGTTTATAATATCTCTCAACGTTTCAATTAAACGAATTTAGTCACTTATATTATAATTAAGTTATAATATAAGTAGGTAATATGCATTGCAAACACTCAGACTGATACAAACAAACATCTCTCATTATTCATTCAAACAAATGTTTTCATCATGCTAGAAATCGAACCCATCGTAACCATTGGTAGCAAGGTGGTATGCTATATGGCTACACACAGAAGCTGCCAATATATTATTATAGGCCTGCTTTAGGTACACAACATATGGAGACAACTCTATAAAGTCCATCTCGGAAAAAACGCACGGTATTAGAAATTAAACTGCCCATCTTCAGATTTATAGGCTCCTTCTATAATGTTTGGTTCCTCTGAACTTTGCAGCGATGTATCCGAAGATTTGTAGACCATAAATTACGAGTTTCCAGGAACATAAAACTGTCTCGTGTAATCAACGGAAACATTTTTAGTAGCTGAAACCTGCAAATGCACTTTGTATCCAACGTGGCAAGTTGCAAAAGGAATTTACATAAATATAATTGCTCTCCAACAATAGCGTTCATAAAAGTGAATAAATTTCAAGTAACATTGTTGTACCTAGGCACACTTTGTACAAAGTCATCTGTGAGTTCTCCTATCTCGTCGACCTCGGTGCTCTAAAAGTTTAAGACACCACTTTCCTTGCGATGGTCGCGGGTTCGATTCCTCTCAGAGTACAAACATTTGTATTCATGTATTTATATCAGTAGCCTAGTAGTACCTATAATACAAGCTCTGCTTAACTTGGGACTATATGGCACTCTATGAATTGTTTAAGGATATCCAAGAATATTGTATTCCGAGATATGAGACTGAATTTCCGAGTTCGAGGAGTTGCCACGTAAGTTTTCCGTATTCCAACGCATGAAGGCTACGATTAACGTGAAAATGATATGATGTCTATGATGGTGTTGTGTGTACAACCAACGATTGTATCTTTCCATGTATGCCGTTAACCAACCACCATCTTAGCTACATATGTATACTTATGAAACTTATATCGAAATACTTATTCATATAAAGATAACATGTTCTCTGCTGACTCTTATTGTGATATGAAAACTTTTCCAATCTCAAGTAAACAATCTATATGAGACATTTCAGATGCATTTCATTCTGAAAATATTACTTGATATAAATATAAAATTCCCACAGAATAAGACCAATAAGTAAATAGAAATATTTACAGCCGACCTCGAAAACGTGCCTCTCAGTTGGAATGTATTTTTTAGGTACGTTCGCGATATTTCAGTACTTTTCGTGTCGATTCTACTGCGAAATCGCTAAAACGGATATTATTCCTATAATAAGTGTGTATATGTGATAAAATCTTTAAAACATTCTCAATGCGGACTCACTGTGAATTTTTATTATCCGATGTTTATCCTATATTTTTTCTGCAGATAATATAAGACTTAACAGAAATCGCAGTGCGAAGTTACTTAAAGACGGTACACGACGCGTATACTACTAAATATTCAAAGCACCGAGAGGTAGCTCTTACACAATCTGACCTGCATATGATGCTTTTCTTTTATTCAGCATTCTTTTTCCAATTTTCTTCGTTTTATTACTTTTAACGTTCCGTCTCTTTGCTTTGTCCTGGAATCTGACACAAAAATAACTATTCGTTCTAATTACTTGTAATTTAAACGAGGTCAATATTAAAGTCAAAATTTAATAACTTTGAATAAATTTATAAACCACACAAAAGTCTATAGCAAAATCTACCTTCTGCGGCAACAGCGATGACCACAATGCTTGCAGCATGGATTTCTAGAACTAGTGGTAAACATGGTCGAGACTGACAAGTCTCTTATTTCTTTTCTCTCCCTCTGTCTTCGTTTCGGAATTCTTCGGAGCACTTGACGTCTTCCTAACGAGTGTTTCTTTTCTACTCTTCCATTACGTCGCTTAGCACGTTTCTTTCTCTCGGGCTTTACTTGTGCCTTTCCAACTAGAGGTTTAGGTATCTCAAGATTTGCTTCCGTTACATCCATTCCACTTCTGTCAGCAACAGAGTCAGTATCGGTTGTGAAAGACTCGCTAACGGAGACGCCGTCATTACGTTTATCGTATGTCCGTCTCTCCTCATAATTTCCTTTTTCTACATATACATCATTATCGGAATCCCTTTGACTTTCTTTCTTACTTGCGGACGGCTGGTTCTCTTCCTTCCCGTTTTCATCTTCCATCGCCAATTTCTTCCAAATGTAACTAATAATTTTGTATTAATTATAATATAAACTCACAGAAAATATTATAAACGCGGTTGTCAAAAAATATAGGTAAAGTTCCTATTCTTTTGTTTTTTGTTTGAAATTTTTTATCGGATGCCAGTCAATATTTGGTGCAATACTTTTTTGTATTCAATAAATATTTTATTTAAAATTTTTCGTGTTTTTCTTTCTCTGTCATGGAGGGAACCAATTTTAGGAAATAATAAAACTATTATATAAAATCTAAACGGTAAAACTTGTTTGTTTGTACTTTAAAAATTCACGTAGTTTAAAAATTTAATATAAAACCTCAGAAGATACATTAAGTACGAAGGCATGACATATTAGGCCTTCGCAATGACAATACTTCAGTGGTACCACAGCTGTCTCATAATAACTTAATATTGTGGATGCTTTTAATATATATAAACATCTTTTAGCACTTACTAGGTGGGTCATAAGCTGGTCATTTTAGTTACTTAAAAAAAATAGCTTTTTTATATGTATATTAAAACTTTAATGCACAAATAAAAGTGTACATGGACTACTAAACACCTAGAGACATTTTCTCCCAGTCTACCATAGAGCAAACAGAGAATCATGTGGGCGGTGCATAATCAATTACATATATATAACACATAATATTTATATATATTAATAAAATTTATTTATTTATATATATTATGTATTATTTTATATATTAATATTATTAATGTTTCTACTCCATCAGGCGCCATCCACCACCTTCTGTCTTTTCTCCTCTACCCAAAGGTTGTCTGGAAGAGATCGCATCAGCGATAAGACCGCTTTTTGTACCCTAAATCTAAATATTGTATTCTTTTGTATATATGTTTTTTTGTTATTATGGTGCAATAAAGAATAATAAAAAAAAAATTACACAGAGACATGGTATTTATAAATATTTTTATGGTTTAACTTGTTTTGGAATTACAATAGACTGTGGACCGAAAGTGAAATTAATAAATTAATTATCCCACCCAAGTTCAAAGTATTCATTCCTCTTTTTAATAAAAAGTTTTAGAGTGTCTATTAGAAAGATATTATGCTAAATAACGGTGAAGTCATTAGAGGTCAATTTACTTCCATTTTATCTCATTGTAACCTATTTGGTGGTACAAACTTTTTTATACCGCCTACTGGAATTTAATTTATGAATAATAATTGTGGGGACGAAAATCACAATTTACTACTACCACCTTGGCTTGCATTGTTATTCTTCAAGGAGTCGGGGGTATCACACCTTCTTGTAACTAATACTCTACCAGCATCTCTTGACTGTCTCGGTGGTCTACCAGTTTAGCAAACCGCTTTACTTTCTATAGTCGTGAATTCGATTCCTCACACTGTACAAACATTTGTCTCACACAATACAAACATTTGTATTTATGAGCACGATTGTTTGTATTTGTCTGGGTGTTTTCTATGTATTTACAAAAAAAGTATTTCTATCCGTTGTCTAACAGATAGTACTGAGGTAATTATTCAGGGTTATTTATTTATTGTTTATATACATTCATACCTAAGAAGTATATTAACATTGTAAATATTTCCTTTAATTATTAATTAATATCTATAATTAAATATAAGCCCCAATTTAGCCCTAACATAAGATTGGGGCTACATGACGTTGTGTGTATTGTTCTTAATTGGCCAGGGGTTAATAATAGTGTAGTAAGGGGTAATATTAGTATTATTATCTCTATTACAGGATCCAGGCTTCTAATAAATGTGTGTAAATTTTTTTTACAGATGCTGGTGTGGTCTAAGCAAGACAGCTCATGGGGCGAACGTGGCAATTGCAGCTCCAGGAGAGGCGTGGTTACCAGCGAGACACACGCAAGCAGCACCCACTGACGCATACGGCACGGTTGAGTTCCAAGGAGGCCCACATCCCACTAAAGCGCAGGTATATTATATACTTCTTTTTAATCCATTTAAACAAATCTTCCACTTAGATTTTTGGAATGGCAAACAAACTGACGACCCACCAGATGGTAAGTGGTAACAACCGCCTATACCTATACATGCATTATATTTGACGGCCTCTATGGTCTAACCGTTTTGCACACCGCCTTATCTACGATGGTTGCGGGTTCGATTCCTCGCACGGTACAGACAATTGTATTCAATACATTCATTTGACTATAATTGTTTGTATCAGTTTCGGTGTATCTTATGTATGTATTTACAAAAACATATCTATGTATTTATATCGATTATCTAGTGTACAAACACAAGCTTTGCATAGCTTGGGACTAGATGGCGTTGTGTAAATTGTCCTGATGTTATTATTATTTTACATTAACAAGCGCTAAGGGCACTTTTTAATGCGACACCTGTGATATTACAGTTAATATAATAATACCTATAACACTGGTTTAATTACTGTAGTATAAGTACCATAATTTATATGAACTATATCGGTTGGGGGCCCTGTGATATAATATAGTTAGAAGCTATAACTATTACATACACCAGCTTCTCACAGTAAATTGATTGTAATAATTTTATGCATTGTAATATTCAAATACAACATCTGTTGTCATTCCAGAGAACTAAGATGCCATGCCTCTTATCCTGTAAATTCACTGCTTAATTTGCACCCTACAGACACAGTTCACAAAGCAAGCCGCTCTGCATTTGAAATAAGTGAGACAGAATTACCCACCCAGAAGACATTTTACAATCTATCTCTGTCAAACTTCTGTTTATTACCTTTGTTGTGTTTTATACCTTTTTCTAACATAGAAAACACATACATCACAGTCAATAAGTCCGAGACGGATTCAGGTGACGTAAGGTTACCAACACCATGGATTCAATATAAGAAAGGGATGCATTTACAATAATTACAACGTTGATGTTGTGTCTCCTTACCGAGCAATTGTATTATTAATGTATTTTTAAAATCAATTACATCGTGCTGAAAATATATATGTACTTAGTATTAGAAATTTCAATTCATATTTATGTCTTATGTAATGTAATGTAACTTAATATGACAATCAACCTAAATTTAAAGGCATGAAATTCATAAAATACGCTTTCTCACCGAGCGCCACTTTGGTCCTATCAAGAATATTGTGTGAGAATATGCTTGAAAGAACCAAAGTGATATGTTTTTGTTCCCGTTCTGTTGTAATTTCACTGCCATACCTCACCCTTCAACCGAAACACAATTTGCAAATAAAAACGAATGAGTAGATATAACTGAAGCAGAAGTATAAAGGCAGATGACTTTTTATGATTGATGATTTCTAATGCTTGGTATATGTATGACCTAAAGTTTATCATTTGTTACAGTATGTCCGTCTGTCCCATGACACCCGTCCCGAGCTAATAGTCCAGCTGCTGACAAGAGAGTGGGCTCTAGACAGACCTAAACTCCTGATTACAATCCAGGGTGGAAAAGCCAATTTCGATCTAAAGCCTAAATTGAAGAAGGTTTTGAGGAAAGGTCTCTTAAAAGCGGCAAAGACTACCGGTGCCTGGATTTTTACTGGAGGAACTAACACGGGTAATAAAGTTTGTTCTTGTCACCATATACTTTAAAATAAACTGAAATAAGTTCCATATAGTTATGGAACTTATTTCAGTTTATTTTAAAGTTTTGCGGCATTTTGCGGCAATAAACACTAACTTGTTCTCGTGGCAGAGCACATTAGCATCCTAGTTGTTAATCTTAAAACACTTACACATTTTCATATTTATATATATATCTCTAATCACATTATAGTATCTAAGTATTTGTAAAATTTTGGTGCTACAATCTGTTCGATTTTGAACGCATCTTGAACGATTCTCCTTACTATGATCCATTTTGTATGACATACAGGTTTACTCAATTTCTATTGTATTGGTTTATATATTCTGTATTATATACAATATGTAATTATGCCTATATGTGTGTACTACGATACAAATAAAAATGATTATCTATATATCTATGAAAATATCAAAGGTTTATCTTTAAAGTTGATTTCCAAAAACTATTAGTTGATGCAGCTTATTCTTAAGCATGCGAAATAATAAAGACTAATGAAAGAACGGACTTTATTGTATATTATATATCTATTTGTCAGGTGTAACACGTCAAGTGGGTGACGCACTACAGCTGGAGAGATCACAGCGTGCTGGCAGGGTTGTCAGCATCGGTATAGCACCGTGGGGTATCGTAGAGGGTGCTAACGAGCTCATCGGTAAAGGAAGAGATGTGCCCTACCACGCGATAGCTTCACCAAGGTAAGAATATAACATAATATTATTAATAAATTTAATGTAAGTACTATTAAATATTACTTACATATATATTATATCATATTGTGCGATTATTATTTATTTTACCTTTATATCCGCTCTATAATTTCTCTCAGTCATTCATAGCTTGACTGGAAAAAGTCTATCTTATGGGATAAGTCCGCCACTACCGTACGTTGTGTCTTTAGTTGTACACTTTTGAAAGACTCGTGGCTTTCATGATTAGTGAAAAGTCGTTATACTCAACTTATAAACAAACAATTCAATTTTATTTACTTCTATAGATAATCATGATTTTATATTGATATAATGACGTTGAACCTGTTGTATTTAATCTTATAATCTAATGAAAGTCAAATATGTGTGATTGTAATAAAATTACACACCAAAATTTTGAATACATATATTTACAGTAAATCCTTAATTACACACCCTAATTTACATAATTATGATAAGTAAAATAAATAGTTAAGTATCTTGTTTGAATGGATCTGTTGTAGTCAAGACAGTGGAAGAATTCAGACCATTCATCTGAGCGTGGAAGAGAACGTCATTGATTAGCTTCTCAGCTAATATGCTCACGTTCACAGGAAGATTGCGAAGCTTAGCAGCCACGTTGATACCTAATGAAAAAATCTATATATAGTCGATTTAATATTATCAAGTATTGAAGTGAATGAGGAGGGATCAATTCCAATTATCTAGGCAATTTTAACTTACTTATGATTTCTAAAGCTGACAATAGAAATATTTTTAAATGAAATGGCCATCAAACTGATAGAAGGTATCATAATTGTGGCTTATATATTCTACATGTGAAAAAACCACAGGAGTTCTTTTTTTATACTACGCCGGTGCCAGACATGCATACGCCACGTAGCCTATGTAGGTACTCCTGAAACGTGGGTACGGGTGTCAGTTTCATTACTAATTTCGACGTATCTTTTACGTCCATAATAACTTCATCAAAATTTAAATCAGTATTGTTGTTATTGTTAATATAATCTTTTATATTTTTTAATATGAGCAGTACTGCTTGTTATTATATTTGCAATAGTTATAAATCAAGCTTAACTGTACCAGAGGGAATATTTAGTGTGCAACAAGCTAATTAAGTCCAGTGCAGTGTTCTCATAAATGTTTCACGGTAAGCAGGCATAGAGAGCAGGTGTAGGACCTTAAAACAACTGATATTTTATTTGTTCTATAATCGTTTGAAACATTCTAAAACTTTATAATCGAGGTACTATATTCTGAAGATAGCAATTAAACCTCTACGAATAGTCGACTTCGTATAAAGTCTACCAATAACTCTCTTATATACACTGATGTTACTGAAAATCAACGACATTTGTCACACATGTCATAATGCTCAGCGGAGCCATTTTGGTGTTTAATATTTGTATTTGTTTCCTTAAATAGTAAATTATCATTACTATATTTCATTTTCTTTAACTTATATATGTTTTAATAAATACAATATCTTGTAATTAACTTTAGTTCTACGTCTAATATTAGTATATTAGCAATTATAATTAGCTCCTCACCAATAGCATCATATTCATCTCCAACCTCTGCCGTACGTTTTCCATTTTTAGTGTGTTCATCTTCAAAGGAATATTTCGATGTGGATGGACTATCTGGTACCACCATGGCATTGTACTCTATGGGATATGTCCGTGCTTCGAATGACATATCGTCAGCACCTTGACTCTCTTCTTCCTCAGATTCCTTTGAATATAAATAAATGAAAATAAAAATTACCTTTTACAAAATTTTTTTTATGTAAATGGGAATGTAAATAAATAATTTAAGGTTTTACTTCTGATTCACATAACGTGCGTCTTATAGTATATACGCAAGCTCTTGTTTATTTAAATTTGCCGAAGATAGTTAAGGTGAAAATAAATAGGCTTGGCAAAAGTTTGTCTTAGGTCTAGTCCATGTTAAAGCTCAAAATCTTGCTTATATAGGTACATGAAACAGTACCAGGAATCATGTGATCTCCAGGATATTATTTATTGATATGATTTATATTTATTACATACACTTTACTGGATATTTCAGTCCTCAGACTGAAACGCAACTTTTAAAGCAAGTTGCTCGGATGAAAAAATGTCAAACAAATATCCATAAAAAATATCAACGAACGTAATCTGAAAAAAAATCCTAACGCAAATTGGATTAGGCTATATCCTTTCTGATCACATAAAAACGGCTTTATAAATTTGATAGCAACGTGCGTTAGGAAGATTTCGATGTTTCTCTATAATCTGAACATATTACAATCAAATACCTGAGTATCAGTAATAGGATTCCATTTTATCTTATTATTAATAAATAATAGAGATGCATGCAATCTCAAAATAATTGGAACGTTGAAGAGTCCATCTTAGTCCTAATAAAAGATTTTTGTACCGTCAACGTTTTCTTAATATATTTCTGTATTCTGTTTTTGAAGTTAGAATTACTTATTAGCTTACAATTGACTTCTTTAAAAGCGCAAAGGATTTAAAAGAATAAAATTAAATAATGTAATTCTTAAATAAAATATTAGTAACAATTGTAATCACTTTGAAATACCTAACGGAAGAGTATAGTATAATATAACAAATGAAAATAATCTGATATAAACAAAAACAGTGTAAAGTGTGAAAAATTAACACCGAAAGCCGGAAGTAATCACAGTGTTGTCGCAAGAAGAATAGCAATCGGCTTAATTTTAATAACTTGCTGGCGGAACTAAACAAAAGGTCATGATCAAAAAGAGATGTGTGTCGCATAAATTCTTTAAAAATAAGTAAATACCTAAGACAACATTAATGCAATATCACCGAAATATTATTTTAAAAAGTGCATCTAAATTAGCATGAAAAGCCGTTGAACCATTTCCTGTAACAAAAGATGAGAAGGATTCTGGCAGTAATAGTGTTAATTTATTATTTGTGATCATTGCTTGAAATTCTAAGCATGCGATAATTGCAATTCCATAGAGTTGTAATCAAATATAAACCTTTTGTCAGTGTCATAATGCTTAAATTTAATTAAACGAATCGTAATTATTTTAGCTAAGCGAAGTGGAATTATAAGACACAATTGCAGTAAACACTAAACTAAACTCTTTAACATTTTTGATAAATTCTCATTTTCTTTGAAGAATATTTCAGAATTTTAAGTTTCGTGTTATATATTTCTAGTTCTGATTGCTATGTGTTTAAAGAAATTGTATTTTTTATAGATTTTATTACAATTCAAGTAATTTTTAATTGTTTCAGATCAAAATTAGCTGTACTTAACAACAGACACGCGTATTTCCTGTTAGTGGACAATGGATCGGTCGGTCGATATGGGGCTGAGATTGTCCTTCGTAGAAAACTTGAGAAGTACATTGCTGCACAGAAATTACATCCATGTAAGTATTATTTTATTCAACCTGCGATAGACGGTGTACATTGTTAATATTACAATATTCTTTTCTATCTTTTCTACCTGCCGGCCCCGTTGACTCGCACGGCGCTGATGAAACAAATTACACCGACCAATAAAAAAAACCTATTTTACAATTACAAATATTTACTACTCCATAAGATCATTTATTTCATACAAAACTTGCCCTCACAAATACAAACACAATAAAAGACACATACTAAAGGGATCAGCCATCATGGGACTTCTTCGGAAATTCATTGTATTAATATTGATTTAAGATGTAGCTCTCTTAATATTGATTGATAGCGCAAAGATTTGGACCCAATACTTATCGTTTTAGTAAATAATTAAATGATGAACAATTATTCTAAATACTAAATTGTTACTTAAACAAAGTTTAAGGTTGTAAAACGTAATATGCATGCATACTTTAATTTACATTACACATTGCTTGAATATCATTATCACGGATGGTACATTTAAAATATAACAATAGAGTTTGACTCTTATTGCAAACCAATACGGTTTGTTATAATTTATCCAGTTTAGTATTTAACCAACATTGTCCTTAAGGGGGTCTTCCTATGTGATGGGTTATATGTCTAGCTCGATTTTAGAAAATTCTATACTTATGTAGCTTTATTGCCTCCCTTTTATTAATATATTTGTTTATACAATGATAGACTTAAACAGAAATTAAGGAATAGGAGGAAAAGGAGCAACTTACTTGCAGTATTGCACTATTAAATACATTAGACCATCAATACAGTTGGTGTAAATGGCGTAAGGCTGAAGCTAATAATGAACTGGACCAATTTTCACGATTCCGCAAGTCCAAGAAGCTATCAAACCGGTTTTCGAAAATTTATCGAAAGACGAATTATTAATTCGTTGTTTAGGAGCAGAGACACAAAACAATTAAATGATGAACAATTATTCTAAATACTAAATTGTTACTTAAACAAAGTTTAAGGTTGTAAAACGTAATATGCATGCGTACTTTAATTTACATTACACATTGCTTGAATATCATTATCACGGATGGTACATTTAAAATATAACAATAGAGTTTGACTATCAAAAATCTTATTGCAAACCGTGCTTTTAAGCCTACAAATTAAAACGCCGTTTTTTTTTCCAGTTTAGTATTTAACCAACATTGTCCTTAACTTCACAACGGAAATACAGCTGTACTCTCTACAAGATTTTCCATTAATATAACCTGTATAATTTGTTAATTTATTAGGTAATTTACCTACCATACCAAATGTATCAACGAATACAAACAATGTAAACTACATTGTTGATATTCGTTGAGCATTACCTTATAACTACCCATTAAAAAGTACTTCTTAATGGGTAGTTGCAATAATAATACATAAACAGTTCTTGCTGATAAAGTTAAAATAAAATCCTATAAAAGAAAAACCACATGCACAAATTACAATAACCTTACCGCGGGTTGTTCTGTCGGAGTGGGGTCTGTTTTTACTTTAGTATTCCCCCCATCTTGATTGAATACAAACGAAAATATGTTGTAATACCATAGCTGTGGGGTGTATATTTCATCATCGTTATTCGCCTTCCGCTGACTGTCGAGCACTCTTTTGTGTTCGCGGCGCACGCATGCTCGCAAGCTCTCGATTTTTCTGAGCACATGAACTCGAGTCGCGCTCGGATCGTATTCCCGTACTAGTTCTGTTAGTTTTGAAACTGCATCGTGCCTCTTCTGTTTGTTTTTATACAGGACAGAGTGGCGGTCCCAAAGGCAGGGTTGGTCTTTGTACAGCATGATGAATTTCTTCAGTAGCTTGCGGGGGAATACAACGTTGTTTAGGTCTGTCATTTTGTTAGATCGGTGCGTTCGACAAGCGGCGCGGCGCGCAGGTCACTGAACGTGTTGGGTCAACTTGGGTCGGCTCGGAGCTACTCGAAGCCGACCGGTGCGCGCGTCGGTCGGTGCGGAGAGCGGTATGACGCGGCTCGCTCCCCTCCCACCCTGTCTGGGCGACTGTGTTCCGATGCGGTTTTACTAAAACCGCTTTTGGTGTTAGGACATGCCTCAGTAGTTAGTGATGCGAATGCTCTAATCCATTATGCCATAGAGTTTTTCTTAATCTTTATTAATTTTGGGACTTTTGTCCATTTTTGGTATGTTAATCCCATCGTACCTTAATCTTTAATACAAACAAAAAACACGTATTTAGTCAGCAAAACAAAAAAAAAGTGGATTGTACAAGAAAAAGTGCTCTCAAAATCTACTCGTAATTAGATCGTTCACCAACCTCGCGACCTCAAATGAGGGTTACAAAGTTGTAATTTGTAAATCAGTTCTTTCCTTTTTTCTATGCCTTAGGGTTGATATTGTTGATTTTGAGTACGTCAGTAGCCGAACAGCAGAAAAAATAACAATTGTGTCCAATATATAATCATTAATCGGACATACTAATCAGTGCTTACTTTACATCATTGCCAATCAAACTCTCAAAAAACTGTTAGTTTCTAACATATGTTTTTACGGAAACAAACTGAAATGTCGAACTGACGCTGATACCACTCGTTTTATTATTTAATATCGCTGCACCGCTGTATTTCATTCGTGTACAACAAAGCTAACTGCGAAACAGTACAAGCGATTTCATAAATATAAACGACACGTTAGGTTGTCAGTAATAAATTTTGGATCTAACAGGTATGGATGGATTTAAAATTATGAAATCACTAGCTGACCCGCGAAATTTCGTCTGCATCACACTTATTTGACATGATATTTCGCCAAATTTACACAATATCTTATTGAATTATAGCCTATTTGTTATTCTGATGTATAAGCTATATTACTGTAAAGTTTAATCAAAATCCGTTCAGTGGTTTTTGCGTGAAAGAGTAACAAACATCCGTACTAACAAACTTTCAGGTTTGTAATATTGGTAAGATTCTACTGGGTCTACAGGTCTAATCTGCAGCCTACCTATTTTTTGTACTTTCAGCCTACCTTTTAAACTGTAATCAAGACTAAATCGATAATAAATAAATAACAAATTCGGTTAGTTTTTTTCTTGACACAAAATATTGAGTAAAGACGTTCCCAGTATTTAATTAAAAAATGCCTATATTCGAATCGGAATTAATTTCCACAGTAGACAGGATGTTGCCACTTCAGCTAGCTAATCCTTTTGACTATAGATATTTAATGTTTATACTTCTTGCGGACTTAGTAAGTAGGTATGCAAGCTAAGCCGGAAATCGAACTTGAAATCTCACTGAGCGGAATAGAAACTCAAAACTGAAAATTTTCATTGTTATCTTTTACAATTTCATAATTTAAGGTTTGTTTGATGCCAGGTAAACATCTACATTTAGGATAAGCAAAATGTTAAATAAAAAAGAGTACATTCTTTTAATATAATGTTATAGAGCATGCAACGTCTGAGGGAACTGTCAATAGTTATGAATTTCAGAATAATAATAATATTTCAGGACAATTCATTCATTCACACAGCGCCATCTAGTCCCAAGCTAAGCAGAGCTTGTGTTATGGGCACTAGACAACTGATATAAATACATAGATACATTTTTTTTTGTAAATAAATACATATTTTACATAGAAAACACCCAGACCGATACAATCAATCATACTCATGAATACAAATGTTTGTACCGTGCGAGGAATCGAACTCACGACCATCGTATAGTAAAGCGGTGTGCTAAACTACTAGACCACCGAGGCTGTCCTATGAGAATGGAATTGAGCATTTTAAATTTCGAACTGGGAGCGTATTATGAACTCTTTAAAATCCAGTCAGTTTCCAGGCAGTTCAGTTTACGGCCTTAAACTGAATTGTTCTTTTTCGTATTATGAGGGTCCAAATTCAAACCGTATTCTGCCTGGATAGTTTGTCTCTGGCTGGTTAGTGGATTTTCTCGCGCTGCGTTCGGATACGCATACATTCGTTGCAACGTTAAGTTGAGTTTTTGTGTGTCACTTTTTGGACAAAATATTAATTAAATAAATGTAAATTAAATATAGAAAACAGTAATTAAGATTTAGAATTTGTGTAATATACAAAAATATTCCAGACAGTTTTATTGTCTTTTTTAATAATTCGGATTTATTTGTAAAAAATATTTTCATTGTAATATCCAAACGAACTTTGTAATCTACTTAAAATTCCGCGCAAAGTCTTAATTCTATTTTAATGTACAATTTAAAACTTAGCCTTTCCATGACTTTATACGCAAGTTAAATTTAATAATTCAATTATTGTGAAAAATATACCTAATGTAACGTAAGTATTCCTAACATTTTCTTAGTAATGTTTTTTTAAAATGATGCAAATATTTAACTGTTTATATTTTATATTTATAACTAAATTGTAGATCACGGACTACCTCTCGCCAACGTCGTGTATCGTACCGGTTTTGAAATATAATGGGATTTTTAAAATACATAGCATGCAAAGTGGCTTTAATAAGTCCGCCCAAGAATACCATACCAATCGCTTGTGTGAGGACGTCGCTCAACAATTAAACTCCTTAGGAAAAGGGGGTTTTAAAGACTGGAAAGGATTGTCAAGTTTAAGTGTTATAAGGTAACCATCTGAATTTTAATTTATTTCATTTAATAGGAATCATCTGAAATACATGTATCTATGCAAATATATTGAAGTATCAGTTCTACAACAGCTTTTCAGTAAATGCATACATATATAAGGTAAGATAAATGACATTAAAAAAAATATATAGTCTGTCCGTTTGTTTGTGTGAAACAGCTGGACCAAATTTGAGGGATACTTTCACTGTCATATGTAATGAGTTGTGTAAAGGAGTAACAAGTTGCTTTTATTTGATATAAATACAAAAATAGATACATTTTTTAATTAGTATATAATAAAATTATCATATCCCTTTAATTATAACTACCAATAAAAGACATAAATAATGTACCTATATCATTTATTATAAAAACAAATAATTAAAACC